CAGATAAGAACCATTCGGCCCATCTAGTCTGCCCAATTTTCTAAATACTTTCATTAGTCCCTGGCCTTATCTTATAGTTAGGATAGCCTTATGCCTATCCCACGCATGCTTAAACTCCTTTACTGTGTTAACCTCTACCACTTCAGCTGGAAGGCTATTCCATGCATCCACTACCCTCTCAGTAAAGTAATACTTCCTGATATTATTTTTAAACCTTTGTCCCTCTAATTTAAGACTATGTCCTCTTGTTGTGGTAGTTTTTCTTCTTTTAAATATAGTCTCCTCCTTTACTGTGTTGATTCCCTTTATATATTTCTATCATATCCCCCCTGTCTCGTCTTTCCTCCAAGCTATACATGTTAAGATCCTTTAACCTTTCCTGGTAAGTTTTATCCCGCAATCCATGAACCAGTTTAGTAGCCCTTCTCTGAACCCTCTCTAAGGTATCAATATCCTTCTGAAGATACGGTCTCCAGTACTGCGTACAATACTCCAAGTGAGGTCTCACCAGTGTTCTTTACAATGGCATGAGCACTTCCCTCTTTCTACTGCTAATACCTCTCCCTATACAACCAAGCTTCTGCTAGCATTTCCTGCTGCTCTATTACATTGTCTGCCTACCTTTAAGTCATCAGAAATAATCACCCCTTAATCCCTTTCCTCAGATGTTGAGGTTAGGACTCTATCAAATATTCTGTACTCTGGAGAAATAAAGTAAACAGAGTGCAGGTCAGGAGTCCGGATACAAGTCAAGGGCTCATGAGCTGCACCACTGTAAGCACCTAATAGGGAGCTCCAATGAGGGGGTAACCCTCCAAAATACTGGAACTTAGATGCTAGTTAGTACTCAAGACAATTGATCCCCTGGGCACCGTTTAGTAGAGCTCCCTTTTTTTCAAGTTATGCTTTTTGTTTGCATATCCCTTTTTATCCTTATATTGATTAAAGGTAGGGACCCCCTTCCTCATTTCTTAAACAGTGGAGCTCTCCTGATGTTAGTTTCCCTTGTGGGACTCTATACATCATCTACCCCTATTTCCTATTCTGAACTCTGCCCTTGGGCTTTTACGTCCAAGATGCAATAGATTTATGTATCAGTTCTTATTATTAAATGTGTCATATATCTAGGATGTAAATTAATTTCTGGTAGTTCACATGAACCCTGTAAAAATCCCCTTCAACCCTATACTAACCATACCCAAACACTATCACTAGCATTAATCGTAACCAAGCATTAACCCTTACCATATGCTAACCTTATACCTAACCATACTCTAAACTCACCATAAACCTACCATTACGGGACTTCCTCTGCTAATGTTAGTAGTGATATCAGCAGAGGGATTTCAGAGTCTGTGAACACCATCTATTCGCTGTTTACAGCATGAGAAGAAGATCTCCCTCTCATGCTGCAGCTCTGGCAAGCTGTCTCAACCAATTAAACTGTGATTGGTGCTGGGCAGCTGGCAAAGCCCAACACTGATCCTAATTGGCAGGGGTCATTCAGTAAAGTAAAGGTCCATCTACAAAATGTCGCGCAATGGCACCCATGATGTCTAAAAATATGTCGAATTTTGCCCAGGTCAAAATTTATCAGCTGCAATGGGTGAGGTCATTTAGCATCAAGAAACTGAAAGTTTAATTGCAAATGCACAAATAACTGATGAAAGCAGTTGAACTTGTGTAGTGAAGACTCCACTCAACTCAATCTCTCAACCCAGAAATATTCCAGTTTCCCCCATGCTCCCAGACCCTCCACCCACTTGCCCACTCCACTCACTTGTGCACTGCCACACATGTTCTTCACTCTTTTTTACCATTCTTTCCCTTTTGTCTCTGTTGACCTTCACTCTCTCTCACCATCTAGTCTTTTCTTCAGTACGGTTTTTCTTCTCCACTCCCATTTAGATTATTCCTATATTTTACCATTCCATTCTATCCCTGCCTTTGCTGAGCCACCCATTTGTTTTTTGTTCTGCTGTTTCACTGTGTATGAAGTAGAACACCAGATTTCATTACGCTAGAAAAGGTTCCAACAACTATTAATCCTTCATTCAGTGTGCTTTGGAAATGGCATACAGTTGCTGATAAATTCAAATACTCCACACATCGAGAGGGCTGAATTAAAATGGTGGCATCTGAAAATAGGAACTTTTAACTCCCACTAATCTTGGGCAGTCTGGGACATGTATGGCCAGACGTTCCTTGAAGATTACAGAGTATAACTCATGGGGGATTTAAACACACATAAACACTAATGTGTATTCGCTTTTTGATGGTAACATTGTTAATATTCATTCATAATTAATTTACAGTACATATAATATAAGGACCTGTTGGATGGAAAGATGCCAGAGTCCCCTTCTTGCCAAGGTATCCTGAAACTGGAAGTTCATCTCAGGTAAATTTAGTTACTCACAACCCAGAACTCTGTCATTGGTAGAGCAAGGGAAGGCTGGCTACATCTGGCCTAGGAAGAACTACAAGCAGATAGCTCAGTTAGAGCCAAATCCATCCACACTGCATTATCACACTTCACTACCTTTTTAGATTTTATATGAAGCATATTATACTAGTATTTCAGTAACTACCTGGAATACAATAATAATAAGTGGATATAATTACATAATATGTTTAGTATTTCATGCCCCCAAGTGTCCTTATTTAGGAGGGACAGCCAGTGTTGTGGGGCCATGTCTCTCTTTTCTCTCCAAATGTCCAAATGTCCCTTTGTTCCTAGTGTTTGCGTTCAACAGTAAAGTGTCTTTAAACTACAATAAATGTGCTTAGAAATCAGTCTGTGTAAATAAGTTACTTTGTTCTTCTGAATTACAGGTAAGTTGCATACATGACAGGTGCATAGTCACCATATGGGCAGGTGGAATTCCCCCCAAAACTCATCGACAATAATGTATGGGTCAATATGTCCACAGCTTTATTAAGTGTTCTTGCATAGCAAGACCACTTCATGTTATCTCACATATATATTATTCTTATTCTTATTATAGCCAAATTTACCACCCTAACTCCTCCCACAGTTTTTACACTACATAGACAGTAATATACCAAACGTGCAGATTGTTCCCGATTGGTGTGCTATTACTTTGTGGAACGTTTCGCTGAATGGTTCACGGAATATCGTCGTTCTTGTGGCGAAATTGGTCCCATAGGAATGAATGGCAAAATGTTGAAAACTAGAGTGGGAGCTGGCAAAAGCTGAAAAATCAGGACATGATTTCTAAACTGCCACCACTCCCTCATTTTCAAGCCCACCTACACAAATCTTATATCAAAATGTTCAGCTACCCCTGCTGCCACTAAAAATGTCCACGGCTAAGCCATAGTCCTGATAGTTTTCACAATATGACCATTTGTTTGCAACTCACGCCGTCCATTGACATTCATTGAAACTCCACTCTAGCCACCTAAACCAAACACTCCACACAGTTACTCTGCCCAGTCCAACCTTTCCACAGTTACTCAAGCCACTCAACCCAGTTACTCCGCCCACTCCAGTTGTAGACAACTGGTGGAGGCAAGAACACTTCACACAATTTCCCCAGAAATTGTAGCTTTTCTACTTAATATTAATATTAATATTGATAACAATAAATTAAAGACATTTCCCAGCCCCCATCCCGCCGTATAACATCATGTGTCTCCGTAAACATAAATAACAGAAACAACAGTAATAACAATCATCGTAAACATAATATTAGTGCCAAACTTTATTAAATAACCACGGTAGGGATATACCCGGATACCCCTACCACCCACCAGGTTCTGAGCCACCACCAAGCTCGAAACCTACCAAAGTTCATAACGAACCATTTAACCAAACTCTTCACCAGCACCCTAACTGCCCTATTCTATTTACACTACCCGAGAGCCTGTTTGTCCCCTATCTTTTCTCTCTCTACCCCTGCCACTGTGACCACACGGGAGCTAACACCCCTTACCCTTACAAATGGGAGGGTGGGAGGGATAACTTAGGCCAGGTAAGCACATTAAAAGTGCCTACTTCAAAAATGGTTGCCTTTTTATACTAGGCCAACCCATTAACACTAACTCCACTCCCAAAAGGGGCCTTCCCCCTATGCCCGCCTCCTAGCTCTGTCAAGCCCCTTTCCACTAAGCCGCGCTTGTTCCATAGGGTTACATTACATATTGTATTGCATACATTATTAGTAAGTGATAGAAACATTCCTAGAGCTACATGGCGCTGGCCACACCCACACCCCTAAAATTAAAGTGTCCTTCTTTGCCCATTTAACATGTTGGGTGGTATGCTATTGTGCTGTAAGGCAACAAACCTCTCTATATTAGTGACCCTCGTGACCCTGCCCCTCTTGCTAGCCATCTCCAGGTAGAGAGGTCTGGTTTGTAAGTAGAAAAGTCATCGGGTAACTTTAGCACACCCTGTCAATAATAATCCCATCTGTTGGGGCCAGCTGTCAGCTTTTCGCATTACTACACAGGTGGTCTTACCAACTTTTAGTTATGTTAACTTGAACATTCTTTAAATTTAGCTGGCTATTAATGTAGTAAGTACCTGTGGTTTGGCTAAATTTGCTAGAAAAGCCAAATGCATAAATGCTGCAGCAAACAATTACTGTGAGGGATTCTTTTTTTGGGGGGTGGATGAGAATTAAACTTTATGAAGTTAGCCCATTGGAAGCCATGGCCACATTGTCCTCTAAAGTGTTGGAAATGATGAAAAATCTCAAAAAGCTAATCAACAGTCAGTATATTAAGATCAAACACTAGAGGGCGTACACAATCTTTTAATACAGGAACACAGAAGATCTGTGGAAGCAGTGAGTAACGTAAATAGGCATTTTATTATAAAATGTATTACATCCATAAATAGAAAACATTAATTTTAATTAAAATCATTTTGATCTAACCGAAAAACTCGTAACTGTCAATTTGTGCAAACTTATTCTACGAAGGCACACCAAGTTATGGAAAACATTCCACCTTCTATATTAATGTTAGAAATAAAGAAAACGTTCATCTTTCACCTCACTGAAATAACAACTAGCAAACACCAAGGCAATGTAAAACCAAAGTAAAATAAATGTATACATTGAACCAGTAACAATTGGAACTATGCAATAAAAATTGGAAAAGGACGTTTTACGATTGTTACACTCTGTGTCCGTCATCACACCACAGAGCGGTGGACTGGCAAAAGTAGAAACGGCCAACATCCCCACTCCCCCCAGTCACTTGCATACAATGTAGGCAGGAGCCTTGCATCATAAACTGAATGAATGAGGAAGAACACATGAATTGTGAAGGGTCAAGTAACCCCATGCAATGTGTGGGTTTGTACTTGGGCTCCTGGCTTGAACGACCCACTTGGGATATTTCCCAGGAGACTGCATCATCCGGGCCAACATTACCATTAGAAAGCAATGAGTATGTATGGTGTGGATGTGTTTGCAAGTGTATGTGGGGTGAGGGAACACAGTTTTTAAGACACTCATCACACATGCAGGAAATCATTGTAGGCAGTGGAGTCAGTGGCAAACAGTCTGCATCTTTTAGGTATGGAGAGAGGTCTATGAATTTTGCCTTATGCATCACAGGTCATAATGATGAAGGTTTCGGGTTTATACGATGTCGTATGATGTCATACTAAACAGCTCCAGCTGCTGGCATCAGTCAAACCCACATAACACATTGCTGCATGAGTGGGACTATCAACATTGAGTTTTGTGACTTTGTGTACAGCAATAAGGCCATTTAACGGTACTTGCAGCACATGCCAATAGTTGCCATTCATCACCTGATACCACGTATATCATATGTAAGCTTATTGACCTGATAGACGTAGTGATACATTATTACTACTATAAACACTAAGTCCCTATTTTTGTCCACTGGCAATATAGACAGGTGGCTCTTGTTGAACTATACCTCCTTCGTACAATACAGAGGATAATTGTACATAATACACATTTAGTGTATACCATAAAACTTGTAAGTAAATGTGTTGTTCTTGTTTATTACTGCCATACACCCCTTTCAGCAGTAATAGTATATGGAATTTATTAACGCATTAACAAATATGGAAAATGTATGCAGGTGGCAGGGTTCTACAGCATGCAGTTAACAGTGTCTCTGCACCAGTCTAGTTAAAAGTGAGTGAGATGGAGGAAGGATGTAGCGCCTTTAGGAAATTCTCAGATGTAGATAAATATGAAAAAACAAGACAATGAGCACAGCAAAATATAGTGTAGTATTTCTGTTGAAAATTAATAAAAGAAAGGAAATGCATTTACAGAGTGTGGAGCTCTACTTTAATGCCTTTGGGCGGTACAATACCCACCTAGGGCTATCTGGTGTATAATTGTTGATTCTGTAGTAAGTGCTCCAAGAGATATGCAAAATAAACAGAGATAAAACCAGACCTAGTGCAGAAGTTCTTTGGTAAAAATACACTCACAGTACATAGAGCCTCCCTCTGGCTCTTAGAAAACTGTGTAGAGTGGTACAATCCCCACTTAAAGGGACACTATAGTCACCAGAACAACTACCGCTTATTGTGTTTGCTCTGGTGAGTATAATCAGTCCCTTCAGGCATTTTGCAGTACACACAGTCTTTTCAGAGAAAATGCAGTGTTTACATTACAGTCTAGGGCTAACTCTACTGGCTACTCTTCATGTGGCCACTGGAGGTGCTTCCTGAGGGCAGTGCTGCATACAGTGCAGTACTGCCATTCAGTGTCTCCATTCTCTGCATGAAGACACTGAACTTTCTTCATAGAGATGCACGGATTCAATGCATCACTATGAGGAGATGCTGATAGGCCGGTGCTGTGTTTGGCTTGTGCTGGCTCTGCCCCTGATGTACCTGATTTGCCTATGCTCACTGTTATAAGTATAAGATAATAAAATTATAAGGTAGGTATATCCATCTGGGGAGCAAAAGTAGGTTTTGATCAGTCCTCAGGTGGTATATCATTCACCAAAGGGATATGAAGTCAGGCTCTAAAAACAGTCAGGGTAGGAACATTTTTATAAAAACTAGTTTATTAAAGTAATGGTTATCTTAAAAAAAAAAAAACAGTAGTAAAAGCATTCTATCAAATGTAAAACAGTAATGTGTTGCACCATAGAGGTTTTTTTAAAGTGTTACATACATCTGGACATGCACAGTATTTATAGGGAGCAAAATTTCAAATTTAATGGTCACATGATGTCAGTCATGTGATCAAAAAAAATAATTATCTTTTATACATAAACCTGTGTTTTAACAGAAATACAGACATAATAAAAAGAAGAACAGTGAGCTAATGGGTACAATACAAGTGTAAACATGAGGATTACTTTAAGAAATAAATGTTTAAACCTTGGGAAATAAAAAAAAAACTAAACAAAATGGTGCCATAATTCTGAACATGTGATCGGTGTGGCCACATATAATTCCCTTATGAAATGCAAAACTAAACATATTATTGGGTATGGGCTTGGGAGGAGTTCTGGGGGTTAAAAAGAAGAGCTCAAAGAAGGGCTCTATGACGAAATAAAATGCGATGTCAAAAGCCAGATACAACAAAATGGTGCCAGAATAGGAAGAATATGTAAAATATATATAGTGATATAAGTGACAATGATGGAAGCACACTTTTAAAATTCATGTGGTTTGATAATATTGAAATCTGTACATATATAGAACGTCTAGATATTGAGATCCGTGGCCAAAATCATAGACAAGAAACAAAATTACAAACTGCGGAAACACATAATACATTTACATTTTAATCAGATTAAATTAATGCTTTCTTTTTCTTTTATAGCAAAGCTAGCTCAGGATTTTAGAGCGTTTATCCTATAATCATAGCTACAAGGGATCCAACACGGTTTGTAAAAATTCATCAAGTTCAATTGCATATGGAAATGTCACCAAGCATAACATAATATCGTTATGTACTGTTTAAACTTCTTTTAGATCTGTTTGCGTATATAAAGATTTTGCTCCTGCTCTGTATATTTAGATCCTTGTATTTGTCTGTAACAAATGTTGCCTCTTTACAACCTATCCCAGGAGCAGACAACCTTTGGCACTCCAGATGTTGTGGACTACATCTCCCCTGATGCTTTGCCAGCATTATGACTGTAAAAGTATTATGGGAGATGTAGGCGACAACATCTGGAATGCCGAATGTTTCCTACTCCTGACTTATCCCCATACATTTATATAATATTTGTCTGTAAAAAAAAAATAGAGCAATATTACAGCAGCATTACACCACAGTTCAAAATGGTGATGTTTACAATGACGCAACAGGGAGGTTAGGATCCTGTTTAATTTAGTGCCAAGTTTGAGATGCTCTGCGCCCCTTTGAATCCCATTTTTTCTTCATGTTTATTTTTTTTGTAAGCATAACTAACAGCGGGTATCTACTGGTTAAAATAGTATTTTTCAATAAATGATTACTTGGATTTATAGGAACAATAAAGTGTCATGAATACAAACATGTATTCCTGACACTATATGCCTCACTTACTCCCTGTTAAAAAAAGCAATTAATTCACCTTTTTTTCCCTAGTGCCACACAGGTCTCAATGCGGCTGGTTCCACCTCTGCTCCGCCTCTTTGTCTAAGGTCATCAAATTTGTGCAGCATTGATCGCCACTGAGTGACCGCCACTAGAGGTGTTACTAGGCAGTAAGGCAAACACTGTCTTTTGTCTGAAAAGGCTGTGTTTACATTAAAAAGCCTGAAAGGTACAAGCAGTAGACACCAGAATAACTACATTAAGCTGTAGCTGTTCTGGTTACTATGGTGTTTCTTTAATGTTAATGTGTTTAATTTCTTCAATAGTTAATACAAATACATTTTTAAGAATGTGAATGTGGAGTTCCCTGCTGCATGTATTCCTGGGGTTCTAATAATAGAGAGATGGAGATATTTGTCCAGAGTGCAAAGCAATAGAAATATGTGTTGCAAAAGTCTTAATCTTAATGCTTCTTTCTGCCATTAGACCAACAAATTGCACATCCATGTAATTTGCATTCCTGCCAGCACTGAAATATAAACAGGTGGTTGGGAAAATGCCAAAATTACACTACTGAACTGATATGTTACTGCAGAGTTTCTCAACTTTCTCTGTAGAAATGCCCATTTAAATCTGCTGGGAAAAGAAGTCACAGGTACCCATAGGGGCCAGTGCAAGGATTAGAACCACCCTAAGCAAAAATGCAGCTTGCCGCCATCTTGAATCTATTTTCTCATCTTTTTATCTCTCTAGTTTCTCCCTATGCTAATCTTCCTTTTTTTCAGTGTCTATCCAACTCATACAGCACTTGTCTCTGTTCTCCCAGTTTCTGTCTCTTACCCAGTTCTCTCAGTCATTAACGAGCACTGGACTTAAAATAAACAAACACTCACAGAGGTCTGCACCGGTAGGAGGTGCAGACCACAAGCTCTGCCCATGGGACCACCTGCCCTTACTGTCCTTCACTGGACAACCGGGGAGCAAATATGTAACAAGGTGTAAATATCAAACCAATCCTTCCTGGACTACCAGGAATATATTTATGTCACCTCCCCCCTCCCACCCCCCCCAAAAAAAAAATATATATATTAGTGGTTCTTCTAAAACACTTCTTCATTGAGTAGCTTTAGCATGTTAAAAGGAAGTTGTTTTTTAACTTGTATAAACAAAATCAAAATATTTCTTAGATGAATAAAGGCTTTCATTTATAAAATATATGTCCAACGAGCAAACCGCCAAACTAAGATATAGGGAATTAAGCCTTTTGCCTTTGTTATTTACCCTAACTATATACAAGTACTAATGTTGGGATTTTTAGGAATTGTCAGCAATTCTTACAGTTATGTTACATGGGTTATACAGGCTGCAGTTTTAACGATCAAAGTAACAGATTAGCCAACAAAATAACTGCATTCCTAGGTATTTGAGTGGTGGATACAAATTATTCTTTTAAACGGTTTAATAATAACGGACCGTGGATAATGTCATTAAAAAAATAAAAATAATCATCTATTCTTAAAAGATCATTTTTCAATCTGGATTAACCCTTTCAAATAAAGACTGTAAGGATGCATGGGTCAGCCATAGATAAATCCGCAGGACATTCCACGCGTCACATATTCTTTAGGGACATGTCTGTAATGTCTACATATAGAAACATTTTCATTTAGGTGTCAAAGCAACAAATATTCATTCACAGGA